CACAACAAAAACTGAAGATTGTAATTAAACTCGCAGTACGCTAAAATGGCCTCTAAAAGGCACAAGGTGGTTACCAAATACTAAAATGAGCTTATTGTCTAGAGTGCCCTGGAAATTATAGCCTGGCTGCTTACCATTGCATCTCGCATGTGAAGTTCACTAAAGTCACAAGGTCAAAATAACAAAGTTTGCCAGGCTCTCATGATGGAGGAAATCGTTTTAAAAACACATCTTTGCCCATAGATGAGCTGCGCCTTATGCCTTTAAAATGCATTTTTCTCTAGATCTATTTTTGGGCAACTTCTCGAGATTAGACATCATGTTTTTGGTTTTTCTGATAGTCAGATCAGAATGAAATGTCGCCCAGATATTCCTTCACATGGAAAGGATGCAAGTATCACCTTCAAACCTGATATTATCTGTATAATTACTATGAAGCTAAAGCAATCAATTAGTATGGGCTTAGGATTATAATAAGTATGAGATTACAATTTTTCTTGTCCTATAAAGTCTTATATGCACTTTCTTTATGGTTATTTGCAGTATACAATTAATGAGCAGCAATATGAGCCATTGATGGCTCAGAACCACAAAATTTTAATGGCTTAAAAGTTTGTCCAAAACGAACTATATTTCACACATTGTCATGGCGCAAAACAAAAACTGTGCAACTTACTAGAAAACAAATTACATATTTGAAATCAGCATAAAAGCCAATAAATACAGCAAGAAATTGACTGCCTGAGCCAACAGATTCACGAAACTTTTTTTCAAATCACATCTCACCGTAAAGCAGACCATTCTTGCTTCAAAGATACTTAAGAAGAAACTCGAAGTATGTCGAGCCCGTGCATGTGTAATAATAAGCCATGAGAATGAAGCAGTGAAAACGGTAGATAGAGACAGAAGTCCCAAAGTTTATAGCATTTAGCACAACCAGCCTCCCACAGTCAGTCTTCTCAATTGCCGAGTTGTGCTAAGTCTTGAAAACGCCATGACTTGAAATGATTGCAACAAGGTGTTTCACTTGATAAAGGTAACATCGTGGACTGATCGAAGAAGCATTTAAACATTTAGAATGGAAGAAATAGGAAAAGATCAATATCTTGACAACTCACAGCTTGCAGATGATATTTCAGCAATGACAAATTGAAAAAAAAAATAATCAAAGGTAATAAAATGACAAAGAATTAAATTAAAGTTGAGGATGAATATACACAAGACAATGATATTGCCGGGTCGTCTGGTGAAAGTGTGAGAGTTTGTGACAGACAAACGGAACCTAGAATCTGTTGAAGTGTTCATATATTTAGACATAGAGGAGCTAACTCACACAAAAGAAGTTCACCAAAGTATAAGGATGGGCTGGCACATATACACTGGAAATACTTAACTCATGACAGGACTTACTACTGTCGTTAGAGCGGAAAGTGTACAAACATCTTTTTTTACCAGATCTTAAATATGGAGCAAACACTTCAAGGATAGCAAACTCAATCAGAAAAAGACCGCACAGTTTGTGACGGAAGGAAAAAATTATGACCAAAACAAAGAACCACGAAGACAGCACAGTGGGTCACAAAACAAGCATATGCAGCTGACATCCAAGTTTATATTAACGGGGCTCTGCGACTTTTTTACAGCATGGTCAAAAAACACCGCTGATCAGTCTTATAAAATAGTATGATTACAGCACAGCTCTGTTTGAATGTGAAGAAGGGAAATACAGACGAAAGGATTAGCATTCAACTTCCAAGTTTTGTTAATTGCATGACCCTACAGCACATTACATAGCTCACCTTGTTGTACACGTGTTGCACACAAGACCAGAAAATGTATCTTCAAGCAGATTGTCAAATAAACAATCCTATATCAGCATTTCACTGCACACACCCAAGAAAATCGAGCTATATTACAGATAAGGCTATGGATGGTGTACTCGCACAAAGCTTCACATACTTTGCAATAGAGTTAGTTTCAATAATCTTTTTACTGGTGTCTTTTCTTCAGGCTCAAACAGAGCTGCGCTATAACCATACGATTTCATAATGCACTAACTCACCCAACCTAGAGTACTTGCTGATCAGTAGTTGGGGTTCCTTGACCTCAGAAAAGACAAAAAAAATGTTTTGTCTCTCTGACTCCCGAGGACATGCTAGCCAAACATTACAGTGCAGCGTGCGACCTATAACTTACAATCAATTCTGAAAGTATGCCAGAAATCCTTCTCTCTTCTTTTTAAAAATTATGCCACTTACCCAAATTTTACGCCATTGGCCGATTTGGGCATCATGCGCTGAAGAGTCAGAGCAACTGCCACAGGAAGCCACCACGTGCCCGCGCGTGTGATTACACTGAAAGTAAACCATCATTCGAAGAAAAGAAAGTTCTTAAAAATCACAACGCACCAGACCTCTTTTCCTCGTGCCATTCCTCCCTGCTTAACTTCCATTGTGCTCATGTGGGCTAGAGAAGAGAGAAAGTGATTACAGCATGCAACAAATCTCAGCAACTACACTTGTACTTGACATGTTGTGAGAATATTCGAGGCGGTCGATTCGTGAGGCAATAAACTACTTCAATGAAGCCATTAGATGGTTACTTAGAAAAGCAGGGATCCTTTAAGAGGGTGAAATGGACCTGGGCAGGTCACGACATGAAAGGGACAGAAAGCCAATGGTTGATTGATTGATATGTGGGGTTTAACATCCCAAAACCACCATATGATTATGAGAGACGCCGCAGTGGAGGGCTCCGGAGATTTTGACCACCTGGGGTTCTTTAATGTGCACCCAAATCTGAGCACACGGGCCCACAAGAAAGCCAACTGTCAGTTTAAGTGATGAAATGGTTACGAACATATAGGAAGCATAGAAAAGCATGGCAAAAAGCTAGATGGAGTGACAAAATTAGAAAATTTACAAGCATAAATTCAAATTAGCTCGTGTAGGTTATAATTGGCTGTAGATCACTGGGATAGGCCTTCATCCTGCAGTGAACGTAGGAGACATTGACGATAATGATAAATAATATTGTCCATAAGCATTGATCGGCAGGAGTTTTTTGTGGGGGCAGAAAGCTATGTTGCACTTTGGCTGGGGAAGGGGTGAAGAGCTGGTATAGCTTATGGGGTACAAGTGCCATTGTAGAACTTGAGCATCTTTATGGTGTAAAACTAGCAAAAAAAAAGACAAGGACAAGAAAGTGAACACCACAAGCACCCCACTTTCTTGTCCTCGTCTTTTATTTCTGCGCTACTTTCACGCCATAATGAATCAGTACCAACTCGCTCGCCTCTCTGTTCTGAGCATCCTAGCAAGCGCAGTGGAAGAAACACAAAAGAAAGAGAAACACGAAAAGCATACCTCAGGTGCTAGGCCTTTTGTGTTTGTTCTTTTCGTTTGTTTGTGCTAAGATGCAGAAGTCCAACAATCACGAACTAGCCCGAATCTCTACATTGGTGGTGCTTAAAGAGGGCTCATGCCCTTTTTGCACCCTCCTGCCGACGGACATGACATCTTCCCCAACAATACCCCACAGGACTTGCGACAAAGCTGCATTTCCCCAGAGGCGAGGTCACTAGTACCAAATTCAGTTTTCTTCTCTGCATAGCAGTGAACGCGACTTGCACAGTGACTGATTACATTGAAAGCACTGCAGAAATTTGTGTTTGGTAAGGAAACAGCGTTTGATAAGCTTTCGTGGTTGGCCGTGATTTTAAGCCTGACTGTAGAAATCAAACACGCTCTAAAAAACTTAGAAATTACTCCCAGTCTGAATTTGCTTACTGCAACATCAGCAGACACTCCCAGTGGTTACTGCCAGCATTCATGATGGCTTGTTCCTCGCATAATAAAGCTTAAACACGATATGTACTCTAAAAAAACTTGTTCATTTGGCAGCTCATTTTTGTATAAAATTAATATACCTCAAAGATGGCACATCCTACATGCCCACACCCAGACATTCATTCATACTGTTTATCTAGTCTGTCAAAAAAAAGTTATCTTCAGGATAGTGTTGATTGATTTGATTGATATGTGAGGTTTAACGTCCCAAAACTAACAAATGATTATGAGAGACGCCACAGTGGAGGGCTCCGGAAATTTCGACCACCTGGGGTTCTTTAACGTGCACCCATATCTGAGCACACAGGCCTACAACATTTCCACCTCCATCGGAAACGCAGCCACTGCAGCCGGGATTCGATCCCGCGACCTGCGGGTCAGCAGCGAAGTACCTTAGCCACTAGACCACCGCGGCAGGGCACATGATAGTGTTTGTAGATGGCTTCGTTTATGTTAACATGCACAAGTTTTAAATGGTGCATAAATTATAGTATTCATGTAATGAATAAACAGTTGGAAATGAGTGCGGCATATGTTTTGGTTAAGTGAATGTGAGGAAATGCACATGTATAAATGTGCCATTTATGCACTTGAGTAGTTTTATACCCACAAAAACGAAAGCCACACGATAATTATAGCACACAGTACATAAAAATGCTAGGTTAGTTTTCACCACTTTCAATCTGTTAACATGCATATAAATCTCACTAGATTAATACAGTATTAGAGAGGTGGTGATAAAACTAATAGTGTAATCTTGCTGGTGCTTCAGTAAACTTATGTAAAGCAGTCAGAACAGACCTGTACCTTGTGTCTAACCGACAAGCTTGAAAGGCTGAAAGGTTTTATTGATACGGCTAAGCCCAGCTTACTATACTAGTATGCATTATGAGAAACATTCTACAAAGGTGGAGAAATGGCAGCATGGTGTAAGTAAATTATGAATTTTCTGGTTCATCACTAAATTAACAAAGGCCAGTTCATTAAAGAAAATTCACAATAATTGTTATGAAAACTTTCGACACTCTGCTCTACAGTAGGAAACTTGCTTAGCGTCAACTCACATATTCAAGAAATGCGAGTTACTTGCAGCCTTACTGACAATTGTCAGTATTCTGGAGTGGCGCAAGTTGGCCACATTTACAATATTTCCAGACACATCTCATAGAACAATAAAGCACTGTGACAAGATGAACAGGGATGAAAAAATGTTGAACTAGGGATGTCCGTGGAGACACTTCAACAAGGTCATTCATAGCTTCGTCCTGCTCTCAGAACATTGGCTGAAGTGACAACCATCGTTCAATGATTTCTCACTACTTCAAGAATTCATGCTCCCATGAACGTCCACCATGTTATGATAAATAGTCTGTGACCAGATAAGCGCATCACAGAAGGCCAACATTATTTAACGTGAAATTGAAATAAGTACACTCGTCGATTCCACAATATACACTTGCACCGGCAGTAATATCACAAGCATGCGGGGGTTCTTTCACATGTACCCATGGCGCTTATAGCCTATCGTGTTTAGAAACCTTCCGTATCTTCAACGATACCTTCACGTTGTATTCTAAACGACACCACGGTACGTCCGAAAGTTGGTGCTTTGTAAAAGGTGGCCTTGTAGAGACCGTCCTCTCCGGCGAATGTTGTTCTGTACGCACACTCGTGCCCGAAACCCTGTCCCAAGGCTGGAGCAATCACGAGGGATGACGGGTCAGCTGTGACTGGGCTTCATGGACAAGTGATTAGTGACCAGCACGGCCGCACCGCAGTTCGCGATTTCGACGAGCTTCTGCGTCAGTCCACTGAGCACTTTCTTCCTCTCGCGGGGATCGTGCAGCTGATTCCTCAGGTGAAAGTCGAAGCCGTCTAACACGACCAACGTTGTCTCCTCCTTCGCCTCACAGTTTCTCAGTCTGTCGGGCAAAAGACTAACTGCGGCCACCAGTTGTTGCCACGAGTCGCACAACGTGTAGCGAAGGCCGGCTCCGCCATCGCCACGCGTCACACCGCTCCGCTCCTGCCTTCTCGAAGTTCCCGCGAAGATTTCTCGGTACCGCGCTATCGTGAAATCCTCCTTCGAATCTACGTAAACGGTCGATTTCTTCGACAGCTCGTTGGACGCTGCCACCTGCATGCAAAACTGGGTCTTCCCAGTGCCGGCGGCGCCTGTAACTTCGATTATCTTGTGTCGGGGAATGCCACCGTCTAGCATAGCGTCGATGCTGGGAATCCATGTCGCTATGCGCTGTGTTTTTTCGCTGCGCTTGAGGCACTCCAAAGCGGTGTTAAACGTGAAGACGGGAGTCTCGCGCCGTCGTTCGAGAACCAAGGTCGCCTCAGCCGCGAAGGACGGACCGGCTGCCATTAGGTCGTCGTCATGTTCAATACCAGGCCTCTTGAAGACGCCTGCGTACTCGCTGCGGCAAGATCAGAGAGCAAAAATCGCGTTTTGACATCAGCGCTGGGGCCAAGTACCGACGACAAACTTAAACGCGCACTTCTTGTTTCGCGGCTTCGTACATTTGGCTCGACAGATCACTTGCCTACCGGCTTGGCTTGACTGGAATGTCAAAAAACATTTGGTTTCAGTTTCGTTTCTTTTTTTAGCTTCATATCGTGTTGTAGATAACATATCGGCTGGCTCGACTCTTGAACTCCTCGGTCGTTTATTATCTGCCGCACCTGTGAAGACGACGGTAAACACGAGAGCAAAGCCCCAACGGTTGCCTGAAAATGGAAATTGTGAGTGTATGGCTGCCTGGAAGGGTATCATTCCTCAGAACGAGCGTTTATTGACTTGTGGCACTAGTTATTAAGTTTACTGCTTTATCTTTCCTTCAGAATAAACTATGGGGTGGACGGTTTCTCTGGAAAAACCAGTGACGCTATGGTAAAGTTTAATAACTCCATCACCTACGACAGAAGACTGTGGAAAGAAGACATAGAGGTGAACGATTGCCCGTGTACTATTTAGTAATGTCGCAGTGTGGATTGCAAGATCCGCGAACTGAAGCATTCGAAAATCAAAAATTGATAAATTCACGTCGCTTCAGTTTACCACTTGCTTTCTGTTGACGTTCAAATATGATATTGTAATATATATTGTAGAGGTCTCATTTTGTGTAGCGTTCCTCGAATATGGCAGCATGCAAATGTGTCCGTTATACTTAATTTACAAACAATGCGGTAGCGGCTGTGTGTATGTGCTGTCACTTCACAATGTTTCTTATTCGATTCCCAGTCACCTCGGTACTTTATAATTTACTTGTGCAGTTTAACGAACCCATTGTGGACAGTATTATTCAGTACTCTTCCACCGTGGCAGGCCTCCTGATTACGTTGTGGTTTTGCATCGATTACACTTTGTGTTCGTATCTGAAAATTCCGCATAAACAAATAGATGGCTATTCAAAAGTTCCCAGGCCACGCTGTCATAGGCATTCATGTGGGATAGTGGCCTGGGAACTTCTGAACCCCCCCACCGTACGCATTGTATTTAAATACCATTGATCAAGCTTAGTAAGTTTGTAATAACCCTGCGTTCGTTCATGAGCTGTTATAGCGCAACACACGTATAAAAATCGGCAGATACTACGCACTCGGGAATCGACGATTATACGAAGCATGCGGAGGAAGGGTGCCTGCATTGTAAATTTTTATTGTGCGAAACGTTACGAAATGACGCTGAAGATATGTATACAAGTTTTGTATGCACAGTGATATGTGGAACAGTCGCATATGTTTCATACCGTAAGTTACACTGGCCCTGCTTGAGCAGTTTCGCGTGGATGACGTCACACGGGCAGTGACGTCACACGGCTCACAGCTGGCGTGCCGAAGACCTGGGAGCTCCCAGTGACGTGTCGCAAGTGGGCTGGCGCTTGACTCGTGTGAGACTGCTCACTCACTGGTTGCTCACTCATCTAAGGTTCGCTCATCCGCTGGTCCGTCCGTGGTCCGTCCGTCCATCCGTCCGTCCGTCTATAGTTCGTCCATCCGTGCTTCGTTCATCCATCCGTGGTCCGTCCACCCGTTCGTCCGCGGTCATCCATTAGTCTTCCCGTCCGTCCGTATATATATAACCAAATGTTTACACTTTCGTGACGATGCCAACAGCAACATTCGTGTTAGCTACACCAGAAGCGGTAAGCTAATATGTTACACTTGCGCACGCGAGGATGGTAGCCCTGGACACTGCTACATAAATCAACTTCAATGGATGGCGCTTAACTACAAATGACGTGACTATGATACCGACGAGACGACGGTATAAAAAGAAACATTTGTAGTCTACAAAATTGGATAGCCAGCATTGCAGTCATAATGAACGTTTCATCAACATTATCTTTGAACAGCGTGTTTTCTTAAAGCATTATTGAGACCTGGCGTGGTTCTGTGGTAGAATAATCGATTGCCACGCAAAATGCTTGGGTCGATTCATGCTGGGACTCATGACATTCATTCTTTGCATTCGTCTGGTCAATGCTGATTTTTTTTGTAAGCTTTTATTAGGGGCGAAGCTCCTTATAGCGGCACCCGTTCGTCTTTCGTAGTCGTAGTAGTAGTCGTAGTGTGTAACCAGTCTTACATTTTGACCTCCAAAATGGTGCTGGTGAGAGATTTCTTCTGTGCGTTGTTGAACAATAAAAAATTCGCAGCGTGCGCGTTAACTATAAGCCGAATTCTCCTGTCTCTCATTCCCCCTTAGCAGCCATTGGCATGTACATTGAGCACTATATGACAAGAAAGGGTTGCTACGTTACACTCGCTGGGTATTACCTCCTTGGTTTTAAAAAGGTTTAGTGAGCGTTGGGCCGCATAGCCATGAATACAGTGAACTAGTATATACCATGAACTCGAGGTGGTTAAAGGTGGGAAGTAGACACGAAGCGCAAGCCGTAAGAAAGTGTGCGTGTGCCACCTCTCGTTTAGTCCTTGGAATGTCCGCCGGATGGCGGTGCATATACGGTATACATGATGAAAAGATGCGAGATGGTGGTACTTGGAGTGTTGAATAGATGGACGAACGGACACACAGACAGATGCATGGACGGACTCGCGGATGACTGCACCAACGCATGCAGGGGCGGATGGATGGACGAACGCAGGTATGGACGCACAGATATGGACGTGCGGACGCACGAACAGACGCACGCATGGACGGGCGAATGGACGCACGGATGGTCACACAGGCAGACGCATGGATGGACGGAAGCAAGAATGAATGGACGGACGGATGCTTCGCCCCACTCTCCATCATTCACTCCGTGGATATGATGCAATTTTTTTATGATGCCAGGACTGTGGCACATACCCGCCCACGGGTATGTGCCACTGTCTGGCGGAAAGTGTTTGAGGACGTACACGACGGGATTGTGGCATTACGTCACGATTCATGACCAGCGAGCCATTTTCTTCAAAGCATCTTACCCTCCTTAAGAAACTTTTGTTGGCCTCAAGTTAAGGAGTGATCACGAGAACATCTATGACGTAGGCGGCTAGATAGATAGATAGATAGATAGATAGATAGATAGATAGATAGATAGATAGATAGATAGATAGATAGATAGATAGATAGATAGATAGATAGATAGATAGATAGATAGATAGATAGATAGATAGATAGATAGATAGATAGATAGATAGATAGATAGATAGATAGGCTGTCCCTTTTTATATCTCACTCATTGCAGGGTAGCATGGCGTATGCCGAAGCGCTGAAGTTGGCCGGCATCATAACGCCACAAGAAGCGGACACAATTCGTCGTGGTCTCGCGGAAGTACGTAAGAGGACAACTTTGGCCACACATTTGGCGAAATATTTGTATATGTCAAAAGGCGATTGCACCTGAACGAATGGTAAAGAGTGTTTTTATTCGCACGCTATAAATCCCAGGTGGAACACGAATGGCAGTCTGGAAAGTTCGTGATCACTCGGCATGACGAGGACATTCATTCTGCGAATGAACGACGTTTAAAG